TTTAGCAGGAGGAAGAAACAGATTCCTTGTCACGAAAATCCCCTCTTGATTTACCACTGGTGAATTAATGGTATTCACCACCAAAAAGTCCAGGCAAGAGTCCTGCAAGGAGTTAAGGGCAGTAACAGATCTTATCAGTTCCTTGCGATAATTGCAAGGCTGTGAGCTTCCAGCCAAAAAGCTGCAAATGAACTTCTGGCAAGCAGTCTTTGATGCCCGAAACGCAATGAGCAAAATCTTCAGAAATACGAACAGTTGTCTCCTATGACAACCACTCCCCTTTCCTTCTATTTATTCCCCAGCCATGGAGGGGCCATTCAGCGTCCATGTGTGCTTTGCTTCCCGAGTCAACTCCTTGTCCTCCGTTGTTCTCCTCTCTAACAGCTCTGTGCATACGTGCATCTGGAACAGGCCTCCTCACTCATCTCAGCCTCCAAAGGCACTGCCTCTCCGGTGGCTGGGAAATGTCAGATGGCCCTGGCTCTATCTCTGCGTCTGATGCAGAGCATCCATCAGAGCCTTCCCCAGACTCCAGAACTGGCCCAAGTTCCTCCCCAACCTCCTCATCGTCTGAGTCTGTCGCCAGCTCCGCTGGAAGCTGGCGGGCCACAACAGGCAAAGATAGATTTCTCCATTCATATGAACTGCACGGATAAGGGCCCCCCCCCACTTGCTATAATCTTCCCTTCCATTTTTTTCCATATACACACCCATCTTGTCATACAGATGGATGCTTTGCTAACAATAAATTAGAAACCTCCTGATGTGATTGGGAACTGCCTGTGGCAGCTTTTTCCTCTACTACCCCATAACAGATGGCGGCAGAGGAAAAAAACAAAATCCTGTACGGGTAATTTGTAAAGTTTGGTCTGCCTGTCTGATGGAACATAATATGGAATAGTCCCTCAAGCAGTGTCTTCATGACATAGGAAGCTATAGATTTCCTTTAGTGTCAGCAGTTTCTTACGATGAAGGATTAACTAGCCCTTGGAGGATCCCCCTTAAACTGAAGGCCACAAATATTAAAGGAGATTCATGCACATGTGGTGTTTCTGGATACAAGAGGGAAGACAAATAAGATTTTGGACAAAGACCAGAGGAAGGTTGCAAAAACTGCTTTACAACCTTGGGAAAACTGCTTCCAAGTTTCCCGTCCATCAAGAGTGCATCTCACCAGATGTTATGGGTTGATATGTGCTCCCACGCTTTGTGCAGGGAAACCAACAGATCATTTGATGTGTCACCTTCTGTCCCATCTCCTCCCTCTAAAAGGCCGGGGTTAGTCAATTCTCCACTAAATCTAATACCGCACACATAAAGTTTTTTCTCCAACCTCCACAATTTTTACAGATCGTAACAAGACAGCTTTCATTGGAAGTATAACTTGCATAAATCATTAGATTTATTGCAGACCACATATGTGGTCTGCAAAATCCCACTGCATTGGATTGGGCTTAAGCAGAGGATTGATACCAAAGCTCTCAAACTGCTACTCCAGCAGCTGTCTCATATCATTTTGCTCAGGGTGCAGGACAACCTGGGGCCAACCATGCCAAGGTCAGTCACTTCTGGAATAGAATAGAATAGAATAGAATAGAATAGATAGAATAGAATAGAATAGAATAGAATAGAATAGAATAGAATAGAATAGAATAGAATACCTGTAAAATACAATAGAATGTAGAAATGGGATAGAAGAATAGAGTAGAGTAGAGTAGAGTAGAGTAGAGTAGAGTAGAGTAGAGTGGAGTGGAGTGGAGTGGAGTGGAGTGGAGTGGAGTGGAGTGGAGTGGAGTGGAGTGGAGTAGAGTAGAGTAGAGTAGTAGAAGAAGGAATAGAATTTGGAGTAGAGTAGAGTAGAGTGGAGTAGAAGAGGGAATAGAATTCGGAGGAGAGCAGAGCAGAGCGCAGAGCAGAGCAGAGCAGAGCCAGAACAGAACAGAACAGAACAGAACAGAACAGAACAGAACAATAGAGTTTCCAAACTTGCCAACTTTAGGTCTTGTAGACTTCAACTCCCATAATTCCTCAGCCAGCAGGAATCTTGGAAGTTGAAGTTCCACAAGTCATAAATCTGCCAAGTTTGGAGACCCCCTTGGAATAGAATATGAGAGTTGGAAGGGACCTTGGAGGTCTTCTAATACTGCTGCTGAAGCAGGAGATCTTATACCATTTCAGACAACTGCGTGTCTTAACACTTTCTTAACAGGGTGATTGATCCCATGGTGGCGGGCATGCCTCCAAAACATCTGGTTTAGAGCTCATATCAATCCTGCAAATCCATAACCTACTTTTGTCCCAGATGTTTCTCTTACACCTCTGGAGATGGCACATTTGAGGAAGCTAGAAAAACAGGCATACTTATCTCTCGTTGCCAGTAGCACACCTCCTGGGACTTGGTGTTTCTAAACCTGGATGAAGTACACAAGCATCGTGCTAAGAATCCCTCATTGTAGACATTTAGCAGCTCCTGAGCTGGCTTGTTTTGATGAAGCCTCACATCGGCGCAGCCTTTATGCCCCAACCTGTTGTTCTCATTTTAAAGACAAGCTTCAGAGACCTGTGTTTTTCATAGAAAAAAAAAACAGAGCTGTTTTTTTTTCTTCTCAAAGCAGAGAAACGCACCCAGCACTTATTCAAGGATGCTGAATAAAAATAGCATCTAAATCTTCAACGGGTCTGTTTTTTTTAATGAGTTAGTGCTCTGTATGGGGCGCAACGATGACAGAAGTAGGTCCTGTTGATAAAAAGTATTGTTTGAAGTTCTTCTTTTTCCTTCTCTGCCCAAATCCCTTGCATTTCACACTCAATAATATGGTCAATATTAATCCCTAAGTTTTCTATTTGAAGATCACGGAGGGGAAATAAAGATAGGACTTCATTCAGCTCTCTGGTGGAGTCAGGGCTGATTCTGATTCCCTTTCTCTGTTGCTGATCTACCTGCAGTGGCTAAGATGCTGAGCTTGTTGATCGAAAGGTCGGCAGTTCAGCGGTTCGAATCCCTAGTGCCGCATAACGGGGTGAGCTCCCGTTATTTGTCCCACCTTCTGCCAACCTAGTAGTTCGAAAGCACATAAAAATGCAAGTAGAAAAATAGGGAACACCTTTGGTGGGAAGGTAACAGCGTTCCATGCGCCTTTGGTGTTTAGTCGTGCCGGCTACATGACCATGGAGACATCTTCGGACAGCGCTGGCTCTTCGGCTTAGAAACGGAGAAGAGCACCACCCCCTAGAGTCAGGAACAACTAGCACATATGTGTGAGGGGAACCTTTACCTTTTACTTTTGGAAACAATAGGTTGCAGGTAATTGTGCTTGGTCCCCATTGTACTTCAGAAAATATTGTCAGGTTGGGAAAAGTCATGTCTGACTTGTTTCTAAACCTTACAGCATTTATCCGACTTAATAAAAATTCTTGATGGCCAGAGAATGCTAAAGGGAATTTTGGAAGTGACGGGGAAAATCGAGAAGACAGAATGGATAGAGTATATTTGAAGGGCTGCCACAGAGAGGAGGGGTGTCAAACTATTTTCCAAAGCACACAAAGGCCAGACAAGTAATAATGGATGGAAACTGAACAAGGAGAGATTTAACCTGGAAATAAGGAGAAATTTTCTGACAGTGAGCGCCATCAACCCATGGAACAAAAGTTGCCTTCAGAAGTTGTGGGAACTTCATCACTGGAAGCTTTCAAGAAGAGACTGGTCTGCCATGTGTCAGAAATGGTGTAGGGTCTCCTACTTGGGTGAGGGGTTGGATTGGATGACCTACAACAGTGATGGCAAAACTTTTAGGCACAGAGTGCCCAAACCAGAAGGCGTGCACACGTGCCTGAGTGCCGGAAATCTGATGACCAGCTGGCTGAGCTGGGACGATGGTGCACGTGCCCACAGAGAGGGATCTGCATGCCATCTCTGGCATGTGTGACATAGACTCACCATCACAGGCCTACAAGGTTCCTTCCAACTCTGTTAATCTGTAAAAAAAATTGGAGAACAATGGATTGTTCTCACCGTTAGGAGAAATTTCCTAGCAGTGAGAACAATTAATCCCTTGCCTTCAGAAGTTGTGGGTGTCCCATCACTAGAGACTTTCAAGAAGAGACTGGTGTTGTGGCCCACCAGCTGCCAGCTGCCAGTGGAGCTGACGGCAGACTCAGATGATGAGGAGGTTGGGGAGGAACTTGGACCAGCTCTGGAGTCTGGGGAAGGCTCTGATGGATGCTCTGCGTCAGACGCAGAGATAGAGCCAGGGCCGTCCGACATTTCCTAGCCACCGGAGAGGCAGCTGCCTTTGGAGGCTGATACTGTATGAGTGAGGAGGAAGAACAGCTGGGGCCTGTTCCAGATGCACGTATGCACAGACAAGTTAGGAGAGGTGAACAACGGAGGACAAGGAGTCGACTCAGGAAGCAAAGCACACATGGACACTGAATGGCCGTTCTCTGGCTGGGGAATAAATAGAAGGAAAGGGGAGTGGTTGTCTTAGGAGACAACAGTTCGTATTTCTGAAGATTTTGGTTCATTGTGTTTCATGCCACAAAGACCGCTTGCCAGAACTTAATTTGCAGCCTTTCGGCTGGGAGCTCAGGGCCTTGCAATTATCACAAGGAACTGATAAGGTCTGTTACTGCCGTTAACTCCTTGCAGGACTCTTGCCTGGACTTTTCGGTGGGTGAATGCCATTAATTCACCAGAGGTAAATCAAGAGGGGGTTTTCGTGACAAGGAGTCTGTTTCTTGCTTCTGGGTCAGAACAACTGGACAGCCATTTGTCTGAAGTGGTATATTCGAGAAGGGGGTTGGATTAGTTGACCTCCAAAGTTTCTTCCAACTCTGTTATTCTACATTCTATGACTATGTTCATGTTTTAGAAAAGAGCTTGGCTGGGTGGCTGGGTGGGGTCCTTAACAGGAGCACACTATACACCCGTCTTTGTTGCAGGAACCGCTAATTCATGTGTTATCTTTGTATTAATGGTTTCTCATCTCATTCTTTTTTAGGGAATGTATATTAAGTCAACCTACGATGGACTGCACGTGATCACTGGGACAACAGAAAATGTATGTTTCTCTATTTTCGTCATGGTTCTTGCCCTTGTTTCCATGCATGTCTACATGTGTATATATGTGCATGTACACACATACATACATGGATACATACACGCATGTACAGGTAGTCCTTGACTTACAACAGTTTCTTTAGTAATCATTCAAATTTACAACAGCACTGAAAATAGTGACTTATGTCACAGGTTCACATGTACGACTACGGCAGTATCCCTGTCGTCACGTGACCGAAATTCAGACACTTGGCAACTGGCATGTGTTTATGATGGTTGCAATGCCCAGGGGTCATGTGATCCCCTTTTGCGAACTTCTGACAAGCAAAGTCAATGGGGAAGTTGTTGTTGTTGTTGTTAGTTGTGAAGTCGTGTCCGGCCCATCGCGAACCCATGGACCCCATGGACAACGTTCCTCCAGGCCTTCCTCTCCTCTACCATCCTCTGGAGTCCATTTAAGGTCACGCCGACTGCTTCAGTGACTCCATCCAGCTACCTCATTCTCTGTCGTCCCCTTTTTCTTTTGCCCTCAATCGTTCCCAGCATTAGGCTCTTCTCCAGGGAGTCCTTCCTTCTCATTAGGTGGCCAAAGTATTTGAGTTTCATTTTCAGGATCTGGCCTTCTAAAGAGCAGTCAGGGTTGATCTCCTCGAGGACTGACCGGTTTGATCGCCTTGCAGTCCAAGGGACTCGCAGAAGTCTTCTCCAGCACCGGAATTCAAAGGCTTCCATTCTTTGGCGCTCAGCCTTCCTTATGGTCCAACTTTCACAGCCATCCATTGCAACTGGGAAAACCATACCCTTGACTATACGCACTTCTGTTGGCAGGGTGATGTCTCTGCTTTTTAGTATGCTGTCTAACTTTGCCATAGCTTTCTTCCCCAGGAGCAAGCATCTTTTAAGTTCTTGGCTGCAATGGGGAATGGGGAAGTTAGATTCACTTAATAACAGTATTACTAACTGAACAACTGCAGTGATTCACTTAACAACTATCTTGCTTAGCAAAATAAATTTTGGGTTCAGTTGTTGCTGTGGTGAAATCCATTTTTTTTTTTACTACTGGTTCTGTGGGCGTGGCTTGGTAGGCATGGCAGGGGAAGGATACTGCAAAATCTCAATTCCCACCCCACTCTGGGGCCAGCCAGAGGTGGTATTTGCCAGTTCTCCGAAATACTCAAAATTTCCGCTACCGGTTCTCCAGAACCTGTCAGAACCTGCTGGATTTCACCCCCGAGTTGTTGTCATAAGTCAAGAACTATCTGTAGTCTAGTTGTTTCACCTGTAAGAAAAGAAGAAAATTATGGGGTTTATAATTCACCTAGGCTCAGTTTTTCTTAAGATTTATTATGGAGCTTTTTCTATATTCCACTGCTAGCTTTTCAACTTCAGCTATCTCGTAAATGGCTTTTATCTTCTGGTCTTCTTCTTTTTTTCTTTTTTTTTTTCCTACTGAGTTGAAGTTACTCTGACAGTGCACTGAATTTTATGTCTCTAATGCCTGTCATGCTGGATATTTTTAAGTGTTTCAATTCAGGGTGTTTTATTTTAAAGCACATTATAAGAAGCCACGAGAGTTTACTGGGGAAGGAAAAACAACCGCAAATGCATTTTAGTAACTGCGCGAAACGTATAGCCCCAAATCCTGTGCTTTAAATAGAATGGAAAATCGTTCGTTCTCGCATAGGCTTCGCCGTCGTGATACATAATTCATTCCATTTCTTGAAGTCTCCAGCTGTTTGGAGATCTGAACACCTGGTGCTCGGTCTCTAATGTCCTGTTTCAGCACATGGCTTCTATGATTTAACGTGGCATATAATCTACAGATTTAACTGAGTTCAGAAAGAACTCGGGGGGGGATTTAAGCAGAGAGCAAAGATCACAGCACGGACATCCTTCCCAGATGTGCCCCTCCCCCAAGGTGGCATCTATAAATCTTTTGATACCTTTTCATCACTGCCATCATGGTCTAGGTTAGCAGTCACCAACTGGTGGTCCGTGGACCACTTTGTGTGGGTCAGAGGGGGGCAGAAATTCCAACTCGGGGTTCTGCTTCAGCTCCTGGTACGGGGCTTTGGGTAAAGGCTGGAGGGAAGTGGCACTGGTGGCGAAGAGCCAGAAGGCCTTGTTCCAGTGGGACTGCCTCATGGCCTGGAACTGGCTGACCATCTCAGCTGCTGAGCCTCCAGATGCCGGTACCTGGCCTTGCACTCCTGCAGGTCTTCCCTCTGCTTGGAAAGCCTATGCTCCTAGTCCTCAGTGAGGTGCTTCTTCTGAGCCTCCTTCTTGGTCAGATCCAATTTGAACTGAGCTGTTTTGCCAACTCTTTCTCGTGGTGGCTGCTTAGCTCCAGGAACTGCTTCCTGTTGGGGCCCTAAGGAGCCGGGTGGGCAGGCGAGGAGTGGCTGGGAGGGGAGGGGCGAGTAGAGGCCAGCGAGGTGGCCCTCGATGTAAATGACATCGAGTTAGCCATGACCACCCAGTCACATGACCACCTAGCCACACTCACCCAGCCGGTCATTAGGCAGATCATATTAGTGGTCTGTGGGATTTAAAATTATGAATTTAGTGGTCCCTGAGCCCCAAAAGGTTGGTGACTCCTAATCTAGGTGCTTATTTTCAACTTCTGGGCCAGTCCCACCCAATGTAGAGTATCAAGTGAATGTTTCCCTAACTCAGTTTTGTTGGAGGCCAAAGCCATGTAAGGTAAAGAGATGGGTAAAACAGAGGGACCAAGAAGGTGGAGGCTTCAGAAGCCACCAGTGGTCAAAAGAATATCAACCACTGACCAAAAGTACTGATCTCTACAGCCAAATCCTGTAGAAAGCAACATCCCTCAAGATCTTCCAGTAATGCTTCCTGTAACAAAATATTTAGTTTTATCCAGCTAGATATTGTTCATAGATTAAATGAGCAATCACTGAGTGAACTCAATTTTCTACTAAGAGGGTGGATGGATGGATGGATGGATGGATGGATGGATGGATGGATGGATGGAGCTAGATAGATGATAAATAGTAGATAGATAGATAGATAGATAGATAGATAGATAGATAGATAGATAGATAGACAGACAAATAGATATATGATAGATTAATCGATCGATCGATTGATAGATAGATAAAGACAGAAAAATAGATAGATGATAGATAGATAGATGATAGATAGATAGATAGATGATAGATAGATAGATAGATAGATAGATAGATAGATAGATAGACAGAAGACAGAGAAATAAATACATGATAGATCAATAGATAGATAGATAGATAGATAGATAGATAGATAGATAGATAGATAGACAGACAGACAGAAGACAGAGAGAAATAGATACATGATAGATCAATCGATCGATAGATAGATAAAGACAGAAAAATAGATACATGGATAGATAGATAGATAGATAGATAGATAGATAGATAGATAGATAGATAGATAGACAAAGACAGAAAAATAGATACATGGATAGATAGATAGATAATAGATAGATAGATAGATAGATAGATAGATAGATAGATAGATAGATAGATAGATAGAGGGCATGGCTGACTGGGTGGGTGTGGCCAACTGGGTGGGCGTGACCAGCTTGACGCCACTCCCCCAAACTGCTGGCATGTTTCCTCTTTGCATTGGGTGGACCGGGCAGAAACCATGCTGGCTCTATCTTTCCTCTTCACATTGGGTAGACCAGGGCGGCCTCGCGGGCCGGATCCAACCACATTGCAAGCCGGATCTGGCCCACAGGCCTTGAATTTGACAACTCCTGCCATAGATTATCTGATAACTAGACCCAGTTGAAAGCTTTCTCCTGTGCTGCCTCTTCTACCACCTCATCCAGTTTGAGGAAAGAGAGTTTGGCTTTGAAATTATTTCAAGACGTGAATAGCCATGAAATTCTCAAGGATGGGGGTAGGGTGCTCTCTTCTCTTCTCTTCTCTCTTCTCTTCTCTTCTCTTCTCTTCTCTTCTCTTCTCTTCTATTTCTATTCTATTCTATTCTTTCCTTTTGCAATGTAAACCTCTGAGCAGGGGAAACATTCTACAGCTAAGATATTACTGTAGATTTTACAGCTAATAAATTATATTTATAATTTATATTTACATTTTTAAGGGACACATTGATCAGAAAGAGTGGGATTGGAAATCTTCCTCCTTTTCTCCTTCAAGTTTTAAAATAATTGTGTTCAGTCTCTTGTGGAGGCTTCAGCCCCTGATTTTATCTGGGGCCGGCAAAATCAGAAGAAAATTGTGCTGCCTGCCACTCAATTTCAATTGCCTGATTCATATTACCTCTATGGCTACAGCAATGAATGCTCACTATTTGGAGTTAAAAGAAGATGGCCTTATATTTTATACCCAGAAAGGACGGCGAAGAGTAAATAAAATCTTCTTTACCTGGATTTTATTAAAGCAAAATGCTTCCAGGGTTCTTTCGCGCTCTCTTTCCCCGAGGCTCATTTTCCGTGTGAGAGATAGTCTGGGGAAGACTGGAATAAAATTATCCCAGTTTAACAAGGCAGAATGGAAAAAGGGAGTTAGCCTTTATTGGGTCTTTGATATAACCATGCCATTCCCTTTGGGGATATGAGCCTGGTCGGAGCTCCTTAGGAAACATACTGCAAACTTCTTAAGTGAAACAGAATAAAATGAAGATGGGGTGGGGGAAAGCTGTAACTAACATGATGATGATGATGATGATGATGATGATGATGATGATGATGATTGGATTTCTGATTCTCGGGGGATGAAAGACAGATGATGGTGTGCTGATGGTGTCTCTGCAGATGCCTCCTAAATCCGCCTAGGATATGTTGTAACAGTTATTCCAGTAGAGTAATAAAGCACACTCGCTAATTTTATTGCGATATTTATATCACTTTATGTTCAGCACAAGTGGGCATCCCCCTCCTTCCCTTTCTCTTCCCCTTTGTAATTGTGGAATCTCTTTAAAAGGAAAGATCTCTTTTAAACCTGAAGAGGAACGGAGGATGGACGGGTGGGTAGG